GCGTCGTCGCGCGCGTATGCCGAACTCTTTCAAAACCCATCGGTTTCGAAAGGATTTCAAAATCGTGTGCCCAAAAAACCTTACAAAACACAAGGCTTCGCAGCACGGATTTTCAACAACAGCGTGCGCGCGCGCTCTTGCGTCGTCGTCGTCGTCGCCGTCCTCCCTCCCCCCGCGTCGTCGTCGTCGTCGTCGCCTACGTCGTCCTCTGTCTTTCCTCGTGTTCGTCGTCGTCGTCCTCGTTGGCGTCGTGGTCGTTTCCGTCGTCGTTGTCGCCGTGGTCGTCCTTCCTACTCTTCCCTCGTCGTCGTCGTCGTCCGTCGTCGGCGTGTCGTCGTCGTCCCTCCTATTTCGTCGCCGTCGTCGTCGTCGTCGTTGTCGTTGTCGTCGTCTTCCTTCCTCCCTCGTCGTTGTCGTCGTCGGCGTCGCCGTCCTTCCTCCTTCTTCGTCGTTCGCGTCGTCGCCGTCCTCCCTCCTCCCTCGTCGTTGTCGTCGTTGTCGTCGTTGTCGCCGTCGTCGTCCTCCCTCCTCCCTCGTCGTCGTCTTCGTTGGCGACGTCGTTGTCGTCGTCGTCGTCGTTGTCTTCGTCGTCCTCGTCGGCGTTGTCGTTGTCGGCGTCGGCGTCGTCGTTGTCATCGTCGTCGTCGTCGTCGTCGTCGGTGTCGTCGTCGTCGTGGTCGCTGTCGTCGTCGAAGTCGTTGGAGACGTCGTTGGTGTCGTCGTCGTCGGTGTCGGCGGCGCCGTCGTCGTCGTTGTCGCTGTCGTCGTCGGCGTCGGTGTCGTGGCCAAGTGCCATCTGGTACCTACCGTCACGGTCTTGTCTTCAGAGGTCTTGCGACCAAGTTGCGGGTGGGAGGGTGGGATGTTTGCACGAGCAGTGGAGAGGACAGCTTCAAGACAGTCCCCCCCCACGTTATCGCCCCCTTTTCGGGTATGCCAACCACATATGATTCTGACCACATGTCCATCCTAAATATGAAATCACAATGTCCCAGGCCAACCGGTATCCCCCCCCTGAGGTTCCCTTGTTTAAAAAAGCACTATGCGGTGACATTTTTTGCTCTAACATAGCACTTTTTCACGAATCCCTTGCAACAAATGGGACGAAGTGCGCACGCGCGCGTCGTCGCACGCGCATGCCGAAATCCTTCAAAAACCTTCGGTGCCGGAAGAATTTCGCAATCGAGTTTCCCCAAAAAACATACAAATACAGTGGGTTTCGTAACACTGATTTGCAAAAAAAAAAAAGCTTACGCGCGAGCTCTTGCGAAATCTTAAGAGATCCATTGGTTTTTCAATATTTTCACAACATGTTACCAAACGGGCGTCGCGCGCGCGCATGTCGAAATCTGTCGAACGCCCTTGCGCGTTTGCCGTCGCCAGAATCCTCTGCAAAACATGGGACGAAGTGCAGACGCGCGAGTCGTCGCGCGCGTACGCCGAAATCCTTCAAAACCCATCGGTTTCGAAAGGATTTCAAAATCGTGTGTCCAAAAAACCTACAAAAACACAAGGTCTCGCAACACGGATTTTCAACAACAGCGTGCGCGCGCGCTCTTGCGGCGTCGTCGTCGTCGTCGTCGTCGTCGTCGTCGTCGTCGTCGCCGTCCTCCCTCCTCCCGCGTCGTCGTCGTCGCCTACGTCGTCCTGTGTCTTTCCTCGTGTTCGTCGTCGTCGTCCTCTTTGGCGTCGTGGTCGTTTGCGTCGTCGTTGTCGCCGTGGTCGTCCTTCCTCCTCCTCCCTCGTCGTCGTCGTCCGTCGTCGGCGTCTCGTCGTCGTCCCTTATTTCGTCGCCGTCGTCGTCGTCGTTGTCGTCGTCGTCTCTTCGTCGTCTTCCTTCCTCCCTCGTCGTTGTCGTCGTCGGCGTCGCCGTCCTTCCTCCTTCTTCGTCGTTCGCGTCGTCGCCGTCCTCCCTCCTCCCTCGCTGTCGTCGTTGTCGTTGTTGTCGTCGTTGTCGCCGTCGTCGTCCTCCCTCCTCCCTCGTCGTCGCCTTCGTTGGCGACGTCGTCGTCGTCTTCGTCGTCGGCGTCGGCGTCGTCGTCTTCGTCGTCGTCGACATCGGCGTCGTCGTCGTCGCCGCCGTCGTCGTCGTCGTCGTTGTCGTCGACGGCCGTCTTGCTTCTCTGGCCTTCTTGGGGCGCTCTTGAGACGCCCTCGAGGGCTCCAAGACGACCCCGGAGCGATATCTGTGCTCGGTCCCGCATGGGTTTTGAAAACCAAGTTGCGGGTGGGTGGGTGGGATGATTGCGCGAGCAGTGGAGTTGACAACGTCAAGTTCGGCAAGTGATTAATTGCACAACATAGATTGCACCACGTAGATAGCACCTCGTGGGTTGCACCACATAGATTTCTAGAACCGTATAGGCACATTGTTTGGGGCTCACGCTGGCTAGCATGCTCTCTTCCAGCTCACCCTGATCCAGGCCTTCCGACCACGCTGCGCTTGGACTTCTTATTTGGACACCTGGCCAGTCGACCTCATCGTCGTGACGTGGGCCCGATGCTTGCTTTCTACCCCTAGCCCTTAACTGGCCCCTCCAGAAGGCAAACAAAGGGGATCCGCCGTCTTGCTCATGGTAAGTGAGTTGAAAACGTCGGAGGCTTGGGTTCGTCTCCGAGGAGCAAGAAGTCATGACAATGCTGAGTTCGACGGTTTTTACCTAACATCGAAGACTGATAGGTTTCTAGTGGGGTAAAAAGAGAGCAGCACATTACTTCAACATTACTTCAACATTACTCCACAGGGGGGTCTGGGCAGCCGTTGGGGGCAGTTGGGTGGCAGTTGGGGGGCCGTTGGGGTTTGCCGGGGGGGATCGTTTTTCGCATACAGTCACACACTTCGTGCTCTTCGATTTCCCAGAACTCCATTCCCGGGCCACATTCTGAATGCCCGGAGCCAACTGTAGGCCACTTCGTGCTCTTCGAGTTCCCAGAACTCCATTCCCGGGCCAAGTTTGGATGCCCGGAGAGCAACTGTAGGCCTTCGGCTCATCTTCCAGAACTCATTCCTGGCCACATTTTGGATGCCCGGACCAACGGTAGGCCACTCTCGTGTTCTTCGCTTCCCAGAACTCCATTCCCGGGCCACATTTGGATGCCCGGAGCCAACTGTAGGCCACTTCGTGCTCTTCGACTTCCCAGAACTCCATTCCCGGGCCACATTTTGGATGCCCGGAGCCAACTGTAGGCCACTTCGTGCTCTTCTAGTTCCCAGAACTCCATTCCAGGGCCACATTTTGAATGCTGAGGCAAGGCTGAGCCTGAGCAGCTTGAGGCTGAGGCTGAGGCTGAGGCAGGCTGAGGCTGAGGCTGAGGCCGAGGCGGGCTGAGGCTGAGGCCGAGGCAGGCCGAGGCAGGCTTAGGCTGAGGCTGAGGCTGAGGCTGAGGCTGAGGCTGAGGCTGATGCTGAGGCAGGCTGAGGCTGAGGCTGAGGCTGTGCCAAGGCTCAAGGCAGACTGAGGCTTTGGGCTGAAGCAGGCTGAGGCAGAGGCTGAGGCTGAGGCAGGCTGAGCTGAGGCGAGGCAGGCTGAGCAGGGCTGATGCTGAAGCTGAGGCTGAGGCTGAAGCTGAGGCTGAGGCTGATGCAGGCTGAGGCTGAGGCAGGCCGAGGCTGAGGCCGAGGCTGAAGGCAGACTGAGGCTGAGGCTGAAGCAGGCTGAGGCTGAGGCTGAGGCTGAGGCAGGCTGAGGCTGAGGCTGAGGCAGGCTGATGCTGAGGCAGGCTGAGGCTGAGGCTGAGGCTGATGCAGGCTGAGGCTGAGGCAGGCTGAGGCTGAGGCCGAGGCTGAAGGCAGACTGAGGCTGAGGCTGAAGCAGGCTGAGGCTGAGGCTGAGGCAGGCTGAGGCTGAGGCTGAGGCAGGCTGAGGCTGAGGCTGTGGCAGGCTGATGCTGAGGCAGGCTGAGGCTGAGGCTGAGGCTGATGCAGGCTGAGGCTGAAGGCAGGCTGAGGCTGAGGCCGAGGCTGAAGGCTGAGAGGCTGAGGCTGAGGCTGAAGGCAGGCTGAGGCTGAGGCTGAGGCAGGCTGAGGCTGAGGCAGGCTGAGGCTGAGGCTGAGGCAGGCTGAGGCTGAGGCTGAGGCTGAGCAGCTGAGGCGCCGGCTGGCGGAAGGCTGAGGCCGAGGCTGAAGGCAGACTGAGGCTGAGGCTGAAGCAGGCTGAGGCTGAGGCTGAGGCAGGCTGAGGCTGAGGCTGAGGCAGGCTGATGCTGAGGCAGGCTGAGGCTGAGGCTGAGGCTGATGCAGGCTGAGGCAGAGGCTGAGGCTGACGCCGAGGCTGAAGGCAGCTGAGGCTGAGGCTGAAGCAGGCTGAGGCTGAGGCTGAGGCAGGCTGAGGCTGAGGCAGGCTGAGGCTGAGGCTGAGGCAGGCTGAGGCTGAGGCCGAGCGAGGCAGACTGAGGCTGAGGCTGAAGCAGGCTGAGGCTGAGAGCTGAGGCTGAGGCTGAGGCTGAGGAGGCTGATGAGGGCTGAGGCTGAGGCTGAGGCTGAGGCTGAGGCTGAGGCTGAGGCTGAGGCTGAGGCTGCAGGCTGGCTGAGGCTGAGGCTGATGCAGGCTGAGGCTGAGGCAGGCTGAGGCTGAGGCCGAGGCTGAAGGCAGACTGATGCTGAGGCTGAAGCAGGCTGAGGCTGAGGCTGAGGCAGGCTGAGGCTGAGGCAGGCTGAGGCTGAGGCTGAGGCAGGCTGAGGCTGAGGCTGTGACTGCGACTGCCGTTGCCACTGCGACTGTCATCGCGAATACGACTACGACTGCGAGAACAGCAGAATTCTACAACTGGATTCTCATCCGAATCTTAAGGGGAATGCTTCCAGATGTGCTCCTACACATCGATGTTAGGTTGCTTTGCCGGGATAATCTTGGTTTTCTTGTCGCCTCGCGCATTCCGGGGCGCATGTTCGAGTACGGGAGGCCAAAGGCCGCCAGAAACTCTGGAGTTCCCAAATCGAATCCTGGGCTTATCGTTCCATGACGTCATTCTCGTCTTGTCTTTGGCAGCCAGAGGACGAGCTCGTCGGCCAGGGCTTGCGCGACGCGGCCCGGTCTCCTGGTAAGGGGTCGGCGACCGGGTCGGCGCCCTCGCGATGGAGCGAGCTGGCAGAGATGGCCACGCAGTCCAAGGCGTCGGCGTACACCATGACGAGCTCTGACCGCGGCGGAGCTCAGAGGATGAAAACACGCTTCGCGCAGTGACAACATCACGACGTAAGGTTCCCAGATCGCCGACGTTATGATGTTTTCATGGCATATTCCTCGATTGCGGTCTCTGGGGCCCGTTGTCGCCGGGCCCATCAAGAATTTGTCCAGGACGACAATTCTGCCCCGGTGGAGGGGTCGGGGCATTTGGGGCCGCGCGTTTGAATAGACAGCTTAATCGGCTGCCTGGGAATCGCGTCGTAACGCAAGTCTCGAATCATGTCATACCATTGTTGGTCTTTGGAGTGGGTGGGGGGTGCGGGAATATCGTCGTCTGCAGCGGTCGTCTTCGCTGGTGGTCGTCTCCGCCCCATCGCCGCCAGGCGTCATATTCGCCGGTCCGACCCGCCCGTTAGGGTCCACACGCTGGCTGGTTTGCTAGCCCGCCCGCCCACGTCGACGCCCCGCCCGCACGATCCGCTCGTGACAGGTGAAGACGACCTCCACCGAAAACGACCGAGCGCGAGCCGCTGGCGCGGTCGACTCGTGCCTGGGGGGGTTGCTTCGCTAGACCGCAGGACCGTCAGAAACGACTCAGGACGAAGAGCCAATGTTCGGGAGGGGCCGCGTGATCGGCACAAACAAACGGGGAGGTCTGTACAGACATAGGCGCGCAAGCTGTCCGCGCAAGGTCGCGCGTAAGCGCCCTCGTCTCCATTTTGGCTTGCCGTGCTGGTGGCCCGCGTGAGTCACTGCGCAAGATTGCTATGTCATCTCGCGGAGGACCCCTTTCTTTTCGTCGCTCACGTGGTGCAAAAAAGCACGAGGTCGGAGAAGGGGGGGCGATGCCCTGCCCTCGCTCTCTCCTCTCTGGGCCTCCCTTGGGGGCCTTTTTGGGTTTGGGGCCCTCGTCGCCACGCAGCCTGGCTCGCCCGCAGTTCTGGCCCGAATGCGTCTTTGGAGGAGCCCAGGGCGGAATCGGCATCTTGTTGGGGCCCCACGTATTTGCTCCTGCACCAGATGAAGTCCAAGCTTGGAATCTTCTTGTCAGAGGCCGCTCGTTGAAAGCAGGTCAATTGGGACCCCCACGTGCTTGATACTACAGCCAAGGCGCTGAGATAAGGAGCAGTTTGGGTTCGGAAGGCGCTCGATGTTCCTTACGTCCTTCCATGGCTGTTTCTCTAGCCCACCTCGTGCACGCAGACGCTTTTGGGGCAACAATGGGGCTTCGTTCCTTATGTGTGGCGTTCCAAAGAAGGGCATTGTCTTCTAGGATAGAAGGAGTTGTCATCTCTTCCGCGGCGGAAGGCGGCGGCAGGGCGGCGCAAGGTCGGCGGAAATATAACGAGGTCGCCTGTGCCGGCGGAAGCCGGCGGAAGGCCGGCGGAAGGTGGCTGAAGCAAAACATGCGCCCCGAGAGATGAAAACGTTTTTGGGTTCAGGGTTTTCCGAAGTCCGTTTTGTATCGTTCCTCTTTCGAACAGCCTGGCTGCACAGCGGGTCAGAACCAACACTGTGGGTGACCGAAGGTGTTCGCAGGTGCCTCGCGCCGGACCGCCGTGATTGGCTCGCCGAGCTCAGCCTGCCCTGTCGGCGGAGCCTCGCCCTCCAGCCACCGCGGAGCGGCCCCGTGTGGGCTCTCGAAGTGCTTCACGAGAACGTCCGCGATGCTCGAACAGACGCTCTCTCTCACTCTCGCTCTCTCCCTCTGACTCCCTTTTGTTTCTCTCCATCTCTTTTGATCGAAGACGCCTACGGCGAATCACCGCCGCCCCCTGCCTTTTTGGAAACGCCTATGTGGCCGAACGTTGTGGCCAGAGGCCTGCCAAGCTATCTCCCCGACTCGGTTTGGAAATCGTTCGGGGAACACGGTGGGCGAGGCTGGGCCGACTTGGGTCTTTCTTGGGGTGTTCCAGGGCCGTCTTGGAGGCCATCTTGAGCGTCTTGGAGGCCTCTTGGGCAGTTTTGGGGCCATACTGGAGACCTCTTGGGCGATCTTTGGGGGCTCTTGGGCTATCTCGGGCCGTCGGAAGGCCGAAAAGAAGCAAATGTAAACATCCGTCGAACAACTACGGAAAATCAGTGTTGTTTGCCTTTCGGGCCTTCCTGGAGGCCCTTTTGGAGGCCTATTGGGCCGTCTTGGGTCATCTTAGGGCCATCTTCGGCCGTCTTGTTGGGCTCCTGGCCCGTCTGATGCCGTCGGAAGCCGTTTGGGGGGCCTCCCTGGGCCGACGTGGGGCCCTTTTGGAATGTTCCAGGGCCGTCTTGGAGGCCATCTTGGGCGTCTTAACGGCCTCCTGGGCCGTCTTCGAGCCCTCTTGGGGCGGTCTTGGGGGCCTCTTGGGCCGTCATGGGGCCATCTTGGAGGCCTCTTGGGCGATCTTGGGAGCCTCTTGGGCCGTCTTGGGCCGTCGGAAAGCCGAAAAGGCGCTTTTTGCCTCGTCGGGCCTTCCTGGAGGACCTCTTGGAGGCCTCTTGGGCCGTCTTGGAGGCCTCTTGCGGGCCTTTTGGGCCGTCTTAGACCATAGTGAGGCCATCTTGGGCCGTCTTGGATGCATCTTGGGGCCATCTTGGACGTCTTGGAGGCCATTTTGGCTGCTTTGGAGGCATCTTGGAGTCCATCCTGGGGCATCTTGGCCGTCTTGGGACCATCTTGGGCCATCTTGTGGAGGAACAGGCATTGACTTGTGCAGTTTCGACGTGGCCGGCGGGACGGGCCGGAGCCCCAGGGGGAGTTCTTTTGGAAAAGAACCAAACCAAAACCGATAGGATTCGGCACGCCAGGCACCCCTGCTATGATTCGACAGGGGGCGGCGGATCTAATCGTGGCCTTCTGCCCATCCCGCTACCGTGCCTGGGTTGTGGGCTCGAGGCCTCTTGGATGTTCGTTGGGATATCGTGGGAGGCCTCTCGGGAGTCTCTTGGAGGCAGTTTTGAAGCCTCCGGAGGGCCGTTTGGGGGCCTCTTGGGGCCTCTTCTTTGGGCCTCTTGGAGGCCTCGTGGGGCCTCTTGGGGGCCTCTTGGGGGGCCTCTTGGGCGCCTCTTAGGGCATCTTGGAGGCCTCCTGGGGGCTTCTTTGGGCGGAAGGCTCAAATTGTCGGTTCCTGTTCCCCCTGTTGGGGCCTCTTTGGGGCAGTTTGGGGGCTCTCCTGGGCCGTCTTGGACGCCTCTTGGGCCGTTTTGGGGCCCTCTTTGGCCGTCGTGGGGGGCCTCTTGGGAGCCTCTTGGGGCGGTCTTGGGCGCCTCTGGGGCAATCTTGGAGCGATGGAAACCAGAAAGCGCGAGAACGCAACAAATTTCGGGGCTCAAGAGACGGGGGTCAATGCAAACGGGGGTCAGCCAGGGCACCAGATCCTGCAGGATCCTGCGAAGACCCCCTCTGGCTGATCCGGGTTAGCGAGCCGCTCGTGGCCGCGAGGCGGCCGCGCCTATTGGCTGACCCAGGTTTGCGAAGACCTGCGTTGCAGTTTTTTTTTCCTGCATTACAGTTTTTGGTTTCCTGCTGACCCGGGTCTGGATTGACCCGGGTCAGAAGATCCCCGAATAATCAAACCATCAAGGGACATGAGTAATGTTTGCATCTTGAGGCCTGTTGGAGGTCCTCATGGAGCGATCTTGGGGCCTCTGTGGGGCCTTTTGGGCCGTCTTGGGGCCATCCTGGGCGTCTTGGAGCGCTCATGGGCTGTCTTGGGGGCCTCTTGGACCCTCTTGGGCTCTTCTTAGGGCACCCTTGGACTTTTGGGGCCTTCGGGTGAATGAAGCATGAGCAGCGAGTGCGCGTGCTCTGAGTCAGATGAGCAGAGAGGCGCTCTGCGAATGAGAGGAGGAGCAGTGAACGCGTACATGTCCTGAGGCCAATTAGCAGAGCGGCGCTTTGCTAAGCAGAGCCTAATCAGGATGGGGACCCCTGCTTCTGAGGCCCATTAGCAGGTCAGCGCTCTGCTAACGAGGGAAGGAGCAACGAGTGCGTATGCTTTGAGCGAATCAGCAGAGCGCCGCTCTGCTAATTGGAACCCGAACAGTCTGAGAAGATAGGGCCCCATCCCCTAAAATACTAGAGTACAGGACTCAGGATAGAGAACACATGAGAGCCTGTGAAAAGCTCCCCTCGCGCCTCGCGGCGTGGCTTCGTATACACATGTATATACACATATATACGCATATGTATGTGTGTATCGATATAACTTCAACTCTGGTTAATCCTTCCTGAGGCGTGATCACCTACTATACCTACTATACTCGTTCATCATGACCTTTTGGGCAGGTTCTCTCTTATTCTCTTGCGCTATCTCTCTCTCTCTCTCTCTATCTCTCCCACTCTCTCTCTCTCTCTCTCTCTTGATGCACTCTCTCTCTCTCTTTCTCGCACCCTGTTCCCCAAACAATGCTTGCACTCAGGGTTTCTTACTTCTGGAAAGGGCATGGGGCCTGTGTGGCGTTCCAGCGGCTATGTCGTCGCCGTCGCCGCCTCGTCGCCGCTTTGATGCTGGCCGCCCGTTCTCTCGGCCTGGTCCTGTGTGGCAGTTCGGCGGCTGACTATGTCGTAGCCGTCGCCGCCCCGTCCTCGACTCACCGCCGCCCGTCGTCTGGGCCTGTCTGGCGCTCTGGCCACCATGTCGCCACCCTCGCCGCCGCCCCGCCATTGGATTCTCCTTCTTTGAAAGGGTATCAGGATCTACCCTCCTCCCCCCCTGGGGTTAACGGGGCACTTTTTCGCAGAACTACTTATGCTCGATTCTGCCCCATCGTCCATCCTACAAATGAGTTCGTACCATCCCAGCCAGGCCGGAGTCACCCATCCTCTGCAAAACACACGCGCGCGCATTCGTTTCTCAAAAATCAACAATGTTTAAGCATCCCTGGCAACAAGTTGGACGAACTGCGCGCACGCGCGCGTCGTCGCGCGCATGCCGAAATCTCTCAAGCATCGCAGGTTTCGTAAGGATTTCAACAACGAGTATTCCGAACACATAGAAAACTAAGGGTTTGCCGACATCAGTATTGAAAAGAAGCTTGCGGGCGCG